GTAGCAAGAGGGCTGTAAAGCTGGTACAGGAAACAATGTTGTCAAGTTATATCTGAGCATAAGCTGCAAAAACTGCTCAAATTCAAAAACAACTGGACCGCGCAATCCTCAAAGATTTAAGTTGCATAGCGTAAATCAGCGGAGCAAAAAACGCGTATATTACATACGACAAACTTATTGTTCGCGATTGGAATTCCAAAAAAAAGTAATATATTATCTTTTAAATTTTTATTATATTTTTACATAAACTTATTTGCTTTTATTAATTATGGCATCAGTAAACGATTTCGAAAATTTGACTTTTTTTGATAATGTTTTTTCATTGCGCGAAAACATTAACAAAGACATTAATGATTTTCATGAAATTAACAAACAATGTGCTTATTACTATCCGTGGGAAGTAGAAGGGTTTCTTTTTTTTTTTTATCAGGACTTGAATCCAAAACTTGGGCTACTGCCAACGATTTAATTAATGACCCTAATTTTCTTCCTCATTTTGAAATAATCTCACTTAAAAGGCAAACTAATAAGCGCGGTTGTGGAATTCTAATTTACGTTCATGAAAATATTAGGCATTGTTTTAGAAACGATCTTAGTATTTCTAACGGTGATGGAGAACTTTTAACCATTGAAATAATAATTGAACATACAAAAAACATTCTTTTAAGCTGCTGTTATCGACCACCTGATGGTGTGGCCGAAAACTTGAGCATGTTCTTACTACAAAACGTTTTTAAAGAAGGAAATAATAAAAAATAAAAAAAATTTTCTTATCGGAGATTTTAATATGAATTGTTTTATATATAATGATAACAACAAAGTTAGAAACCTTTATGATTCAATTTTTGAGGCTGGAGCTTTTCCATTAATAGCCCGACGAGAGTGACAAAATACTCAGCAACTTTACTAGACAATATCATTATAACAGACATCTTTTATAATGATATAAAAAAAGAAATCTTAAAAACAGATATCTCGGATCACTTTCTTATTTTTCTGACTATACCCACTAACCAAGCAAATGTAAAAAAACCTAACAAAATCTTAACTAAACGTATTTTTAATCAATCAAAAATTGAATTGTTTAAAAACCAACTATCGCTACTTCATTGGAAACATTTAAACTTTAATGATAACGCTAATAATCTTTTTGAAAATTTCTTTAAAACATTTTTTTCGGTTTACGATGCTAACTTTCCTAATGTCATACATCAAAAACTAAAAACATAAATAATCCTTGGGTTACCAAAGGTTTCAAAAAATCATCAAAAACTAAGCAAAAGTTATATATAAAATACCTAAAAACAAAAACTCCTACAAGCAAAAAAAAATACAAAGAATGTAAAAATTTATTTGAAAAAATCCGGAAAAGTAAAAAAAAAAATACTATTCAAATTTGATTAATGAAACAAAAAATAACGTAAAGCGCACTTGGCAAATACAAAAAGAAATAATTGGGAATAAAAACATGCTCAAGTTTATTGCCACACATGCTTAAAATCGAAAACAAAATTTTATACAATCCACAAATTATAGCTAATGAGTTTAATAAATATTTTGTTGATGTTGGTCCAACCCTATCAAATTAAATTCCAATTACCAAAACTTCTTTTTATGATTTTTTAGCACCTCTTGATAAAGGCATTTGCTCAGATGAACTATCGTCCGAATTATCTTTTAAAGAGTTTGAAAAAGCTTTTAAAACCTTAAAAAAAATAAAGCAACTGGGCCTGATGAAATAAACGGAAATATAGTTATAGATTGCTATGAACAAATTAAAAATATTCTTTTTAAAATCTACAAAGCATCCATCCATCAAGGATGGATGGATGCCTGAGCGCTTAAAAATTGCTAAAATTATTCCAATTCACAAAGAAGGCGACAGATCCAATATGAATAATTACCGCCCCATCTCTCTCCTATCTGTATTCTCCAAAATCCTAGAAAGAATTATGTTTAACAGACTCTGTTAAACAGAGTTAATAATTATTTTAATTACAATAACCTACTATATATAGGTTAGGTTATTGTAATTAAAAGAATTATTAACTCTTGTATATATACAATAATCAATTCGGTTTCAAAAAAGATAGTTCAACTGAGCATGCCATTATTCAATTTGTACGCAACATCTCCAAATCCTTTGAAAAAGCTCAATATACATTAGATATTTTATAGATCTATCAAAAGCATTTGATACGGTTGACCATAATATTTTAATACAAAAAATGAAATATTACGGTTTAAACAATAATACTTTAGCATGGTTTAAAAGCTATTTAACAAATCGTAAGCAAGTAGTCTATAGTAATAATGACGTTCAAAGTGGATCCTTAAATATAACCTGTGGTGTTCAAAAAGGTTCTATTCCTGGACCGTTGCTTTTTCTTATATATTTCAATGATCTAAACAAAGCCTCTAACCTGATGAGTATTATTTATGCCGAGGACACTAACTTATTTCAATCCCACACTGATGTTTACAAACTTTTCTCAAAAACTAATAATGAACTTATAAACATTTCTAAATAGTTTAAATGTAATAAATTAACGTTAAATACTAACAAGACTAAATGGATTCTTTTTCATTCCTTCTCAAAAAAACGTTCTTTACCAGATATTATGCCTCAAATTTATATTGATGAAACTCTAATAAAAAGAGATTCTGTTATAAGATTCCTAAGTGTTTATCTTGATTAGAATATTACTTGGAAAAACTATATTATAAATTATAAACCATAATACTAAAAATATTGGCATTTTGTATAAAGCCTGACTTTACTTAAGCAAAAAAAGCCTTACGCAGCTCTATTACTCATTCATACACAGCTATATAAACTACGCAAATATTGCATGGGGTAGTACCAAAAAAAGTAAACTACAACGTCTATATCGCCAATAGAAACATGCGATTCGCGTGATTAATTATGTGGATCGCTCTACACAATCAAAGCCTTTCTTTAATGAAATGAAAATACTTAATGTCTACAAACTTAATATTTTCAATGTTTTATGTTTTACTTATATGTGGAAAAACAATTTATCCCTACCTGTTTTTAACGACCTTTTTACATTAAAGCTTACTAATAAGTACTCACTAAGAAATAAAGATTTGCTAAATGAACCATTTTGTAGAATAAATTTTAATAAATTTTGTATTAATTATAGAGCACCTTACCTTTGGAATAAAGTAGTTCTGCCTAATTTTGATCCTTTTATCCGTTTTTCTGTTTTTAAAAATGAATTAAAAAATTTTATTTTTGCTATGGATGACATTTTAAGTTACTATTAGCTTGAAGTATAAACTTGATTTATGAGATTTATAATAATACTTATATTAATAAATTTATTTTCTTTAATTTATAACAGATCTATAAAATTTCTTATTATGGATTTTTATAACAGATTTGTGAGAAATATTATTACAGATACGTGATTAATATTATGAATTTATTATTATATATTTATTATTACGGCCGTTTTTGGATTTATATTTTCAGATTTTATAGTATGATAAAATTGGTAAGGTTCTGATGATAAGATCAGTTGATCTTCTTTCAGAAACCTTGTTTTTTTTAATCTTGTAAAATATAGTATTTATTTTACGACAAATGTAAACAGAAAAAAAAAAAAAAAAAAAAAAAAAAAAAAAAAAACCAGACCAGCTTTTGAAAGAGTTTCGTTACAAAGAAGATGTTAATGTATTCAGCTCCTGTGAATTAGACACTGAATCATTTAGCAGCACTGATTTGTTTCCTGATGTTGATGCTGAAGAACAACTGTTTTGTGACCATGAGGCTGCTAATTACAGCTAGTTAAATACTTTTTGTTGAGCTTTGTAATTTTTGTTTAATAAATTTTTATCATTATTTGTATATTATAGAATTTAAAAGAGATTGACGGGGGTGGTCTCTCCCCCCTCTTTCCTTTTTTTTTATATTTAAGGCGAGTAATCAAAATACACTGTTGATTATTATGTTTCTATAAATAATTTAGGCATACTTAAAAAAAATCAGAGTTCTATTTACATTAGAAGTCCAACCGCCATGGCGGTTTTCAATCAATGAAATCCAAGCTTTTGGATTTTGAATGAAATCTCTTTCAATCAATGAAATCCAAGCTTTTATGGCGCGCCATAAAAGCTTGGATTTCATTGATTGATTGGTTGCAAGGGTTAAAATTGGTTATAGATCTAGCGGGTCAATAGATCTAGCGGGTCAATAGATCTAGCGGGTCAATAGATCTAGCGGGTAAATTAGTCGAAGTTTTAAAAACAGCCATCAAAAAATGGGTTATAAAATTAATTAAACATATATTTTATCAAACAGAACGAGCAATGCGTTTTACCATCAGCTCGTTGAAATAATCTGATTAGACAAATCCCAGCGGGCACACCGAAAGGTTAAAAATAAAAGCTTTAAACAACGTTACTATTTAGGTTATAAATATGAATCTAAAAACTTACTTTCTGATCATCAATAGATCAACATTGATTATAGGTCTAATGCAAAGCATGAAAATTAACCTTTAATGATAATTTTTGGTATATATTTTTTAAATTACATAAACATTTGTTAAAATAGTATCCAGTTTTTTTGTTTTTTTTCCTACTATATTATGCAATTTATAAAAAAAAAGTTTTTCTTGAAAACTGGATGAGGCCAGCGTGAAATATAAAAATAATTAAAAAAAACAAAATAGTTTTTTATTTCTTTATTATAGTCCGCAAAAAATTGCCTATTTGTTAGTGAAACTTTTTCCATGACCTAACTTTTGAATACCCCTACTCTATATAATTTGGCGAAGCAGGAAAAAGCCATACCCAAATGGTAAATGTTATTTAGGATTCAAAATATAATTTTGAAAACTCAGAAATAAAACGCAGACCGGAAATGTGAGTTAATAAAAGTTGCTATTATTTGGTATTGACAGATCCAAATTTGGATCTGTCAATACCAAATCTGCGTTTTGGATCTGTCAATACTAAGTCTGCGTTTTATTAAAAAGTCAATCTCTTACTTTGGATCATCCTAAAGAACGTTAACCCACCCACATTTGAAATGCAACCAATAAGTTAGTAATATAACGTTGTTATTAAAAAAAAGAAGGGGCGTTGAATGAGTGTTATGAATGATACGAATGTAAGTTTATTTTTATTAATGTTTAGCTTGTTATTAGCTTAATATTGAAACATATATTTGTTACTAACTTATTAATGTTTAGTCAAGCATATTTATAATATCTTTAAAACAATATTTTAATTAATTTTCAAATACAAATATTATTTAACATTTGTATTTGACTCGAACAACTTTAAATTTATAATAGAAATTTTTATTTATTAATATTTTTTTTGACATTTATCCGACTTTATATCTCTCAAATTTTTATTTTAAAAATTATGGTTCATTTAGCTAGCTCCTGGAATATCGATTCTGATTTTTTAGAGTTCCATAATAGTTCAATAATAGCATTTTATTTTTAAAAAGTTTAATAATATCATTTTATTATTAAAAGTTATAATTTTAAAATTTTAAAATAATTTCAAAAAGTTCAATAATAGCATTTTATTTTTAAAAGTTAAACTATGTTTATGAATTTTGGTTTTCATTATTTAATTTAAAGCTAATCAGCTAAATGATTTAGTAAATCAGCAAACACAGATTTTTGAAACTATTACTATCTGAAGATAGCCATTCCAGAGGATTTTTTTTTTGTCAATATATTTATATATTAGTAACATAGATGTAAAAAGTGTAATAAGACTTATAAAATGAGGGTCTTTCAACTTTAGAAGTTAATTGCATTTTTTGTGTTTAAAAAACTAATGGTTTTTTGAATGAATTTTTTGAAAAAACTAATGGTTTTTTAACTGAAGATAGCCATTCCAGATAGGCACGTGACATGAAATTTTTAAATTGATCAAACATTAGATTGTTATATATTGTTGAAAAGGTCTTCGATTCAGTATTTTAAAGGTGAAAAAATTATCAAAATTAAACAATTCTACAAAAAGTTATGGCATTTTAAGTACTGATTTTTAGGTATATGGATTTCTTGATATATGGATTTCTTGACATTTTTTGATATATGGATTTCTTGATATAAACTGTGACCAAATTTTAAGTTTTTTTAACTTAAAACGTCATAACTTTGTTATGACGTTTTAAGTTAAAAAAACTTAAAATTAGACGCAAAAAGAGGGCACAAAAGAGTACTACTTTGAAGCTCTCCACCCCTTACACCTAGGTATGGTGGGTTAAAACTCAAATATCTTTTTGTAAAAATAAATATTATTTATATGAAACACAAGTTTTACATAAAAAAAACAAACTCATAACTATATACAAAAACTTAATATACAAAAAAACTATATACAAATATAAACATAATCAAAATATACATACACACTATACATACACCTATTAATAGGTTTATATAAATTCACTAAAAAGTGAATCTGCATGCACTTATTAATAAGAATATGTATAGTTGTTGAAAATGTCACCATTCCTGATTTATCTGCCATCCCTTCTGCCACCAGGAGGTTTGTATTTAAAATGAGGCAGATCTTTACCTCTATTCTTGGCCCATATACAGAAAGCTCTTTTTGATTTAGGCCCAGGGTGACTTTGTTTTTAAAAAATGAAAATAAAAAAAAAGAGTTAAAGAATCACCAAGAAGGTCTTGGTTTCCACTCTGGGTGCCAGATGGCAGTGATGACGTTGAAGAAGCTGGTAAGATTAAAATAAATTGAATAAAAAATCATAAAAAAGTATTTTATTAATCTGTAAATTTGTTTTATAAAACAAACAAATAAAGTAACAAATAAAATACCGGACTGCAGCAAATGTTCTCCAGCAGCTAAATTAATAAAAAGTGTAAATCTATTTCACCTAAATTAACTATTTGATGTTCATATTAATGCAACATTTATTAAAACAATAAAAATCCTACCAAGAATTTCCTTTCTTTTAGCTGAAAATAAAAAATTTTAAAATTATTTTTGTTTAGTATAAATTCAGTAAAAAACAAAAAGTTACAAAATTATTTAAATATATTTACCAAGCTCCTCTCTTTTGCGAGCTAAAAATTACAAATTTTAAAAAAACATAGGCAATATTACAGCATTTAGTTAAAAACTAATTGGCTAATCCTAAAATTAAAATGAAATATTTTTACCAATCTGCTGCTTTATTGTTCTTTTCCTCTATAAAAATAGTATAACAATCTCTAGCAACAGTGAAACGTGAAGGAATTAAAAAATCTGGATCCATGGACTTACAAAATAAACGAAAACCGTCTCTCTCCACAATCATAGTAGGTAGTTCATCCATAGTTAGCATCTTTGCAAGTGCATATTTAGAAGCCTCTTGATTGAATGAAAACCATTCTTTCACCTAACCCATTAGATTGTGGGTTATAAGTGGGCGTTTTATATGATAAACATCCTATTTTCTTCAGACATTGGCATAGAGCAGTATCATGAAATTCTGCAGCATTATCTGGCACCAAAACTTCAGGAACGCCATATCTAGAAAACACGCTTTGGAGTACTGTCTTAATTGTGAGAGCATCCCGATTGTTAACCTTTATAACTTGGCTAGTTGATTAAAATTTAAGATTAAAATTAATTGAAAAAAAAATCATAAAAAAGTTTTTATTAATCTGTAAAATTGTTTTATAAAACAAACAAATAAAGTAACAAATAAATTACCGGACTAATTTAAAATGAAAATGAAATATTTTTATTTATCTGCTGCTTTATTGCCGCTAAAATAAAAGTGAATTCAAAAGAGTCAATATTTTTTAGCATTAAATATTAAAAAAAAAAACAGGAAAAATCAAAGACCTTTGATACCTTTTTTAAGTTCCAATTCTTTTTTTGCTGAATACAGATCAACTATTTTAATACACTGTGTAAAAACAACTTTTTCTTACAAGCTTAAAACAGATTTTATATCCTAAAATATACCTATTTCATTCTCCTTTTCCTATAAATATAAAAACTAAAATTTTAACTTGTTGATTTCAAATGAAGCAATTTATGAGTACAAAAATAAGATTAAAAAATAAAGAAAAGATGAAGAAAATTAGCAATAACCTATTTACAATAATCAACAATTCATACTGAAAATAAAACATCTTTTAACTGTATTATTTTATGTTTTATTATTTACCATTTAAAACTTTATAAAATAACAAAATGGCATGATTGCTTTTAACATATACATAACATCTAATACAGTGTAAAAAATAAAAAAACTTACAATATTTGTACTCTTTAAAAATTAGCAGGTTGAATTGAGAAAACTGACATAAGTGCGCAAAAAGAAATTGCCATCACTGGCATTAAGGCAAGTTTTCATAAATCCAAACTCGAAAAGTTTACAAAATTGAAGTACATAAGATGATGAGTAAAAAATTTGGTAGTAAAATAATGGAGAAAAAAAGTACATACAATAGCTGATAAATAGACATACTCTCATCAAAATTTACATATATATGCTTTAAATTTTGGTTGGGGAAGACTATATATATTTACTTTCTTATATTTCTTTAAGAAAAAAAAGTTAAAACTGTTTGGCTCACATGCCAGAACGCATTTGCAAAATTATATTTCACACTTATGGAGGAATTTACAGTTATGAAATTCATTCCTAGACAGTTGCTGAATTATAAATTTAACTTTAATTTATTATCCCTTACGCAGTTCTTCCAGTGTCTCTTGGTCTAAATATAAACAAATGTTTAGATAAACTTTGATAAATAAACTTAAGATAAATTAAAAAATGTTTAGATAATACATACACACAGATATATATATATATATATATATATATATATATATATATATATATATATATATATATATATATATATATATATATATATATATATATGCGGTAGTGGTGTAGTGGTAGAGCGCTCGCTTCATAAACGAGTGGTTCCGAGTTCGATCCCCACCACGTCCCTGGAAGTACCGCGCTCAACTCGTTTCTCCGTGCAGCGGCCTTGTTCGTCAAGGTTCGTGTTTCGGAGTTATAGAGTTGAGAGAGGGTTATAGCCACAAACAAGTAGCCTCCTCGTCTGTAGTGGCCTTCTCGGCCTTGAGGAGGTGAATTAAAATAAAAAAAAAAATATATATATATATATATATTAGTATGTCTATATAAATACTTATATAAGCATATCAATAAAATCAAAGATAATAAAAATAAAAATTTACCTTTTAGGAACTCTTCATCTGTATAATCATAGTAGAGATCTTAAAAAGAATTTTATATTTAAAGCAAATTAACAAATAAATTAAGTTAATTGTGAAATCAAATCACCTAATGGAGAAACTTTAACAATTATAACAAACAATAGTAAACAATAAGATTAAGTAAATTAACAATACTTAATTACATAATCTAAATAATCCTTTTCTTGTAAATAACAAAATGACAAAACAAAACCTACGTGATGATGATAATTGAAAAATTATTTTTTCATTTATATTTTATTCTAATCTAAACACACATTTTTTTATAAAAAATATTTCACTAATAAATATTTTACAACATAAACACTCGGACAACACTAGTATTGAATATAGATAGCTACTTAGATAAACACAAAAGTAATGTTGTTTATATTGTGTATTCTTGTGTATACATGCTTTATTCTATTTTGAATACCAACAAAAAATAAAGACACTTAAAAAAAATATATTAAAATTAAATAATTTTTTTAATAAATGGATATTTTACAAGCATTGATTTAACCCTCCATTGGGTGCAGTCATTTTGTAACTTGAGAAGGCATGTTGTATCAAATCATACAACACGTCTGAAACTGTTTTAATAAGAATACTAGATTGCAAACTAAAAATTAAAAAAAAAAAAAAACAGGGTAATAAAAACTAGAACCATTCAAAAAGCTGTTATCATTGAAAAAGGTGTTATCATCAGGTGTTATCATTGGTTGCTAAATTTTAGTGGACCTATATTGGCATATATCCAGGAGTGCTGGAGGGTTAAATAATTGTCTTGGCTTTTAGTAAATGATTAAAATACTAAATTCCATCAATAAAACTATATAACAATCATTTCTAACAATAGACACCACGTGAAGGTAAGCCAGAGCCGTCTATCAA